GCCATATTACATTAGGTCAGGGCGCACCCGTTGTTTACGAGCTGTGGCGCGCTCCGGCCCTCATGGCTCTTGCAACCTAGGGGGTTTGGGATCACAGGGCCTGGGCTTCCGGCTGATGCTGTGTAACGCCAGGTCCGTGGTTAATAAAGCCCCCCCTCATTTATGATCTGGTTTCGGAGGGGGAGGCGGACCTGGTGGGTATTACGGAGACCTGGCTGGGCCTAGAGGGGGGTGCCCCTCGTTGAAATGTGCCCGCCAGGTTACTATGCATTTCACCAGCCGAGAGCCCAGGGTCGGGGTGGGGAGGTGGCGGTTATTATTAAGGAAGGCCTGGACCCAAGAGAGACCACTGTGCCGCAGACTGCCGGTTGTGAGTCCCTAGGTGTGAAGTGGGGTCATGGGAGGCAGCAGGGCGTGCTGATTGTGTACCTGGCTCCCCGCTACGTATCAGCAGCCCTACCCGAGCTTCTTAGTGTGATAGCCGAGATGGCGATTGGGACCCCCAGACTGTTAGTCATGGGGGATTTCAATCTGCCATCGGTAGGTGAAACATCTGAGGTGGCTCGGGAGTTCATGGCCTCCATGACGGCCATGGACCTGACCCAATTAGTTGGTGACCCTACCCACACCGGAGGACACACACTGGACTTAGTTTTTGCCTCCGGCCAGTGGTTAAGTGATCATGGTTTAGGGGAAATAGTCGTTGAGCCCCTGTCATGGTCAGATCACTCTCTCCTTCGGCTGGCCTTTCCAACCGCTACACCCCACCACGGGGAGGCGGAACCGGAAGTGACAAAATGGTTCCGCCCCAGGCGCCTGATGGACCCCGAGAGGTTCCAGACGGAGCTTGGGCCAATACCTGAGACCCTGACCCGCAGCTCGACTGAGGACCTGGTGGCCGCCTGGAATAGTGCGGCCGCGGGGGCCCTGGACCGGGGGACCTGGACCTACCCCCCGACCTACGTACAGTTGCGGACCTGCGCCTTTTTCGCCGAGCCCTGAAGGCTCATCTATTCCGTGCGGCCGGCCTGGCGTAGTTTGATTATGTTTTAGTGGGGGTTTTGTATGGGGTATTTTAGAGCAGGCCTGTTATTTAATTTGATTTTAGAACAGAAACTTGCGTATATTTATCGTGGTTTTTATTATCGCCTGTTCACCGCCCTGAGTCCCGTAAGGGAGATAGGGCAGTATATAAATTCAATAAATAATAAATAATAATAATCCTAAAAATAAAATTGCAACCTCACAAGCACTTACCAAGGATGAACTACTGCTGTTTTCAGTCTAATGCTGTTTTTAAAACTACACTTGCTCAGATGCACACTTCTGGTCAGATGCCCTCACAATGAATAACTTCATGGAGTAAAGTCTTTTACCCTTTTCCTTTACAGAAGCACTCAAGGAGACTTACAACAATAAAACAAAACATAAAACATGTTAGTAAAAGCAGAACAACTAAAAACAGTACAGGTAGTTCTAGACTTACAACCACAGTTGGGACCAGAATTTCCATTGCTAAGCAAGGCAGTTGCACATCTTGCACATCATTTTCTGTGATCACCAGAGGTGGGGGGCCCAAAGGGATGGGGTCAGTTGTAGGAGGCTTGGCTGCTGTTGGTGTATGGGTCATTCCATGTCAAGTGGTCGTGCTCTATTAAACAAAATAATAAACACATTGTCATGAGCAATCTCCATCTAGATAATTTGGAGCAAAGTTGGCCGAAAATATTGAGGCTCAAAAAAAAGTTTAAAGTTTGGCTTTTTATATCTCTGGAAGGAAAGGTATGATAAACGTGAAACTTTGCGTGTAATAACTTAACAACACAAGGTTTTCAAATATAAAATTTCATTCTCCTACTGCTTTCCAATAGTTTACAAATTGAGTGTAAAGTTGACATTTTTTGTAAAAACACCAAAATAGGGTATTTTCAGTCTGCTTTTACAAAAAAAGACCTTCTGGAAACTCTGTTAAATCATTCTCATTAGAAAAAGCATGTTTCAAACCCCCTAAAAAAGTAGGGTTGGTTTTTCATCGCTGACGTATAAAGCCCTAAAAATAGGGACAAAGTTGAGGACATTGCTATGGCAATGTCACATGTATTATATTATTTTTTTTGTCTTGTTTGTTTTATATAGATATCATTACTACTATTATATTGTGTTGGTCCATGGTGACATTGTCACTACCAGTTCAGGCACTTGAACCAGCAACCCCAGGCACTTGAACCAGCAACCCCATCGCCATAGGGGGCATGCCCAATAGCCGTGCAACACCAGCCACGGGTGGGTTTCTAGTATAAACTAGTCATTTCTATAACAACAAATCAATCTAATCAGTAAAATCCAAAATCCATAAAGTCCGATAAAAATCCATCCTAATTCCAATTGACTCATTAAGTTTAAGTCACTCCTTCCAGCTTGTCTTCATGGAATAAAATCTTTCTTCTCTGCAATGTTTGTCAGGTAGTTATAAGCTTCTCTTTTTCTCAAGGATTTCTCAACCTTGTTAATATCCATGAGGAAAAAGTCCCAAACTTGTCCTTTTAAATGTTGCAAATATTCTTGGAGCTCTTCTTTCAATTGTGTTGGGAGGCTTCTATTTAAACCATCATAAAAATTGGCATCAGGTTTATATTCCAAAATTACAGTTGACTCCTCTGCATTGTCAGCTATGAAATTGCCTCTGTTGTTTGGTAACTTTCTATACATATTTGCATCTCTGAAGGAGTTTGAATAGTCTTTTTAACATCCTTGGAGCATAGCTGTTCTATGAACTGATGGATTTTATTTAAAGATTTTTCAAATACATCTCTAATAATTTGCTCCTCCATCTTCTTACCTCCCTTTTAGTCAAAGAGTAGCTTTTTTGTAAATCACTTAAAAATTGCTGGCCAATCAGGAATAATGAAAATCAGAAAGTTTTGGCCACCCAGAGCAAAGCAGACCAAGCTACAAATTACTAAAAATAATAAACTAAAACCACAACTTTCTGTCCTTATATTTCCCCATCACTTTTTTTTTCAAAAGATAGTCCACACTTCCTTATTTTAGCTTGCCTTAGCAGCCTTCTTCCTTGTTGTTTAACAAGAAGAAATCCCCAAAATGGTGCAGATCTTCAAAAAGAAATAACAGGCTATAGCTAAAGAGAGCCTCTTTTAGCTTAATAAAGATTAATAGTCCTTAAAAACGAGTAAAAAATGAAAGGCAAAACTTACTGTCTGTTTGAAAAATAAATCCATAATAATAATAATAATAATAGTAGTAGTAGTAATAATAGTAAAGTTGGAAGGGACCTTGGAGGTCATCTAGTCCAACCCCCTGCTCAGGCAGGAAACCCTATACCATTTCGGACAAATGGCTGTCCAGTCTCTTCTTAAAAACCTCCAATGTTGGAGCATTCACCACTTCTGGCTGCTTCAACCACGAACTGATTGCAGCCCCCCACCCCCACTCACAGCTTTCGGCACAAGCTGCTTCAAAGCATAGCTCCTAAAGATACTTGCAGATCAGTTGCTGTATTGGAGGATATTGAGGGGTAATTCTAGGATTTTCCCTAACCTAGGAGAGTCATATAAACTAAAGGAATGCCGGTTCCTTCTGTTGATTGTTGAAGAAGTTACATTCCAGGGAAAAAACCCTCAGGGATCCTTCCCTGGGCATGTAGTCAGTTGGCCATCTTTTCACTGGAAGTCTGATTAAACTTTTTACAGTTTAAGCTAAAATAAAATCAAAAAGCTATCTAACAAAATGAAATTCAATGGTGAGAAAAGTAAGGTTTTACATTTAGGCAAGAAAAACCATTGTACAGGTATAGAATAGGTGGAACCTGGCTCAATAGCAGTAACTGCGAGAGGGATCTAGGAGTCCTAGTAGACAACAACTTAAATATGAGCCAGCAGTGTGCTGCAGCTGCCAGAAAAGCCAATGCAATCCTAGGCTGCATTAACAGGAATAGAATCAAGATCATGTGAAGTGTTACTGTGTTTCCCCGAAAGTAAGCCCTAGCTTGATTTTTGGGGGTGGGCCTAATATAAGCCCTACCCCAAAACTAAGCCCTAGTTTTGGGGCGAGGCATACCTAAAAATCAAGCGGAGGTGGGGGGTGGAGCTGCCCCACATGCCCTGCACCCACTTACCTTGCAGCCAGGCCTCTCCTCGCTGGCCTACTTCTTCTGCAGCATTCCCAGGCCTGCATTTCGCAGTCAGAGGCCTTTCCGGAAGGCCTCTGCAGCCGAGAACCGAGCTATGGTTTGAATCCATAGCTTGGTTCTCGGCTGCAGTGGCCTTCTAAAAAGGCTGTTGACTGTGAAATGCAGGCCGGTGCTCCATTCTCAGCTGCAGAATAAAGCTACTCCTTTGGTCACAGAAGAAGTGGTCCGGCTGGGCGGGGCTGTTGGTGCCGGAGGTGAGTGGAAAAGACACACACACACACCCCGAAAATAAGACCTGGTGCCTCTTTTGGAGGCAAAAAAAAAAAAAAAGACCTGGTCTTATTTTCAGGGAAACACAGTAGTACCATATTTATAATACCTTGGTAAGACCACACTTGGAATATTGCAACCAGTTTTGGTCGCCACAGTATAAAACAGATTTTGAGAATGATGGCAAATACATGTGTCCCAGGATAATGTTGCAGAATCCAATCTGGGTCGGTCACCGGGACCACAGGTTTTGTCTTCTGAGCTTTCAGACTCATGCTGGAGCCCATCTTCAGGGAACTTCTCTCCAGCAGAGTGTGTGCTGTTCTGTGTGTGGTATTTAAAGTGCCTGTTGTATGTGGCTTTTTAGATATTGATTGGGGTGTGTTGATGTTGAGACTCTTGATGTTGAGATTCTGGAAAGAGTGCAGAGAAGAGCAACAAAGATGATTGCAGGCTGGAGGCTAAAGCATATGAATAACTGTGTCAGATCTGCCATCACACTGCTTCATCCCTGCCTCGCTTTGATGGCAACCTGCCATAAAATATGGGGAAGGGGGATGGAGGGATATAGGGAGGGGGGATGACAGGAACCAGAAGTGCCAACCAGAGACAACGGTTGAACAATCGAAGGACACAGGCATGGGAAAGGAATGCGAACGCCCATCAAAGAGGCACCAAACTTTGGGAACTGTTACCAAAACAACTAATTTGAACCTCATTGGACACTAACAAGATGACCCGGGGGGAGGGCTTGGGAGAAAGGGAAAATTACCGGGTTTATGCGGGAATCCTCAGATCTCCCCTCCTTCCGCCGCGCCCTAAAGACATGGCTCTTCCAACAAGCGGGATTGGCCTAGGGGAATTTTTAGTGGGGTTTTAAGAGTAATTTTAATTGACATAGGCCACAGTAAATATTTCTTTTTAATTAGGTTTTAAACTGGGTATTTTTATTGTTGTATCTGTTTTATAAGGCTGTCAGCCGCCCTGAGTCCGTAAGGAGAAGGGCGGGATAAAAATTAAATAAATAAATAAATAAATAAATAAAAAAAATCTGGCTTTGCTTACACTGTAACTACTTGGCTTTAGTAAAAGTATACCTTTCACTACAAGTGGAGTCGAGGGTCTTTCTTTCCTTAATGCCCAAGCTGGGACAGGCCTGACAGATTGCAGGAATTGGGTATTTCTAGTCTCATGAAAAGAAGAACTAGGGGTGGCATGATAGCAGTGTTCCAATATTTGAGGGGCTGCCACAAACAGGAGGGGGTCAACTTATTTTTCAAAGCAACCAGAAGGCAAGACAAGAAACAATGGATGGAAACTAAGCAAGGAGAGAAGCAACCTAGAACTAAAGAGAATTTTCCTGACAGTGAGAACAATTAACCAGCGGAATGTCTTGCCTCCAGAAGTTGTAGGTGCTCCATCACTGGAGGTTTTTAAGAAGAGATTGAACAGCCATTTGTCTGAAATGGTATAGGGTCTCCTGCCTGAGCAGGGGATTGGACTAGAAGACCTCTAAGGTCCCTTCCAACGCTGTTATTCTGTTAAAAAATGTTTTATCTTCCTTGAAATCTACTGGATCATAAAAAAAAGGTTCATTCTTTTTCCCAACTACCACTCCAGAAGAGGACTTGTTGTCTTGCAGAGAACGTATTTTTTGTTAGTGCTATTGGCAGCCTTGGGCAAGCAAAATATTCTCAATTTGAATAGAGCAGTAGCATTTACCTAATTTTGTGGAAATGTATCTGTATTAAATTGTCTTTTATAGATTCAGTTGTATCATATGAATTTTAGGCATTATTGGGTTAATACATAGTTTATATGGAGAAATTGGGCAAATCTTTTAGGCCCTAGTGCTGCTTGGTGTAAATGAAGTGTGTACTGTGAACAATGTAGCAATATCCTTCCAGAATAGTGAGCCATGGTAAATGAACCAAATCATCTTCTGTTTTCTCATTTTGGAACTTGCTTAAGATACTTAATCCCAGGGTTCTACATAACCTTTTTTCAGAGCTTAATTGCATTGGGGTTCAGTCAGCCAATGTTTCGTTCTTTCTTTTTGGCTAGCCAGTAAATCTTGATTAACTCATAGATTTCAACCATACTTGCTCTTTGCTCATCTAGGCCAAGTATAAGGCTCGCGTGTCTGCCCTAAAAGCTCAGACAGAGAAAAAACATGGTTCTGACAAGGAAGATCGTGGTAAACTTCCTGAGTCACCCAAGACTGCTGAGGAGATCTGGCAGCAAAGTATTATTGGCGATTATCTTGCCCGCTTTAAGGTAAAGTGAGAAAATATCAGAAATACCAGAAAGAACTTTCTGGGAGGAAATTGGGGCTGGGGGCTGGGCAGGGACTTGAAGACAAAAGGTTAAGCCATGAAATTAGGTGGAGAGAGAAGGAAGTAAATGTGCTAAGTGAGTATGTTGGTACTGTAAAGGGAAAGACATGCATTCTACCTTCTTTTTGAAATGGTTGGAAGTGCATCTTTGGAATGATTTTGCACTTTATGGAGCCGTGGTGGCACAGTGGTTAGAATGCAGTATTGCACGCTAACTTTGCCCACTGCCAGGAGTTGGATCCTGACCGGCTCAAGGTTGACTCAGCCTTCCATCCTTCCGAGGTCAGTAAAATGAGGACCCAGATTGTTGGGGGCAATATGCTTACTCTGTAAACTGCTTAGAGAGTGCTGTAAAGCACTATGAAGCGGTATGTAACTCTAAGTGCTAGTGCTATAAAGTCTGATAATACTCTTTCTTTTATCTCAGAATGACAGGGGAAAAGCACTAAAAGCCATGGAAACTACCTGGAATAATATGGAGAAAAAAGAGAAACTTATGTGGATCAAGAAAGCAGCAGAAGATCAAAAACGATATGAGGTTGGCATTAATTACACTCTATTAGAGCAAGCATGTAGGGTTTCCGTAGGAATGTAGGAAACTGGACAGAGTTGGGATGCTCCGTATTTGGGGACCTAGGAAATATGCCCTCTGGAACAACATTTCCCCTGAGATCTGTCTGGCCCGCACCCTCACCTTATTTGAAACAGCCCTTAAAATCGGTATTCCCCCAGATTTCAGATTAGACTGTAAAATGTTCCACGTGCTATATAGATTTTACAATAGGTCGTCTGTATTCTAGACACTTGTAGTTTTTGACTTGTATCATTTTTAGTATGGATTTATTATTGTACAGTGCCTAGAGTTTTTGTGGAAATTAGCAATAAATAAATTTAATAAATTAGACATAGAACAAGAATCTCTGTCTTCATTTAAAAAAAACCAATCAGGTTTCTAGCTGCAGGCAAATATGCTTGAAAGTACATTGAAAATATTCCTGTTGACAATATACAGGTCCTTGAAATGGCTGAATAAGATTAGACATTGCCTACCCAAAGTGTCAGATTGTTTATTTGACCCACAATTTTAGTTGTTAGTATTGCGCTTTAAAAATTTCTAGGTTTCATGGTTGTTAAGTAGACCTAACTGCTCATTCCTCAATAAAAACTCAAATAGGGAAATGGGAAAGGGTAGACTTTTATCCTCCCTTTCCTTTTTGTAGCGAGAACTGAGTGAGATGAGGACATCACCATGTTCAACAAGTGTCTCCAAGAAGATGAAATTTCAGGGTGAACCGAAGAAACCCCCTATGTAAGTGTTGGCTTATTAGGATGCAGGAATGTGGGGTTGTCTGTTTGAATTCAGAAGTACCTTTATGGCTTGGCTGCTTAGTATGTGTAGCTCTCACATTTGGGGGTGGAGTAAGCTTTTTCCTATTGTTTTGTTTTATTTACAAGATACACAGGGTGCTAATAGGAGGAGGAAGGAATATTTGATATTTTCGCCACTTGGAGTTATAAAGTAATAAATGTGTGATAAAAATCTAATAAATAAATTCAGTAAACTTCTCAAAGCATTTTTCCAAAACAACTTTTAAAAAAACCTTAAAAAGCTAAATATTAAAGTTAAGATACATGGTATGCATACACACTACCCCACCACCCCACACACTCATACAACCCAGCAAAACAGCAGAATAAAAGGGCATAACTTTACAAAAATTTAGAAAAGCAAAATTAGAATTTGTGATCTCATGAAACTTCTCAGTTTCTTTCATGAGACATAAGAAAAAACTTGTTTAAACAGGTGTCTGGAAACAGGCGTCTGGAAATTGTTGAAAAATACTGTTGCTTCTCACTTTACCTTCCTGTTGCTTATTTGGGTTTCTCTCTAAGCTGGGTGGGAAAAGATATTTTGCTGGAGAGTCCTTGAAAAGGAGGTATGTAAGGACTTGTGGGAGATGGGCACATGGAGATTTTTTACACGTTTCTTTTGTGGGACTCATGCCATTCATTCTTAAGTGGCAGGGAATGAGGCAGATAAGAAACAGATGTTGCTTAGTTAACTAGTTAACTAAACTTGTCATTATAACAATGAGTCCAGCCACTAATTATCCACATGGCTTCATTTTTTCATCTACAAAGCCCTACCTTTGATAACTTTGTTAATGAGTCTAGAGTGTGATTGCCAGAAATATCTCCCAGTGTTAATTCCCATATAAGAAATTGTTGACATTGGAAGAGAAGTTAGAGTAATAGACAATTTTCCTGACTTGTGTGTATCAGGAATGGATATCAGAAATTTTCTCAGGAGCTGCTTTCAAATGGTGAACTCAACCACCTTCCTCTGAAGGAGCGGATGGTAGAGATTGGGAGCCGCTGGCAACGGATCTCTCAGAACCAAAAGGATCAGTATAAAAAGTTGGCCGAAGAACAACAGAAACAGTACAAAGTGCATCTGGATATGTGGCTCAAGGTGAGCTGTGAACTGGAGAAGAGAGGAGGGCAGGTAACAGCTCCTTGATAAGTTACAATAAAATACAGATGCAGTAAAAAGCCACTGAGAAATTAAATGAAGTCCTTCCTTCTAGCTTCTGCGTGAAATACTGTTCTCCTTTATCAGTGACACACAGTTGTGGGTCCTTTGTGACCTTTAATTCAGATTTCTCAAGTCTCATTAGTCCTCAACTGTCCTGCTTCACTGATCAGCTTTTAATCTTGTATTTCCATTTTCTCTACAGACCTTGTCACCACAAGAGAGAGCTGCCTACAAAGAGCATACCTCCAGTGTTAGTGTCTTGCAAGTATTTGTGTAGGGAGATTGCATATCTGTTGGTCTGAAAAGGATGTTTCTTGAGGTTTATGCTTGAAATGGAGTGTAGCTTGGAAAGGGCTGGAGCTCTGAAAGGAAGGTGGCATTTGCCTGCCAGGCATTTCATATCAGGGTCCATGTTGTGCAGTAGGTTCTTCATATTAATATAACATGAGGTGAATGTTTTTAGAGTTAATAGAGATTTGGGCTTATGACATGCTGTTTTCAGGGATAGCAATACTGAAGTGGCTACTAACTGCAGCAGAACACAAACAGAGGTGACAGGTTGACCATGCACCTTCATCCACTTCCAACTTTTTAGTCCCAAGTATGTGTGCTCATGGCTGGCTGGCAGTGAAAATGAAATTAAAACATAGTGCCTTTTCTTTAGCATTTCAATTGCACCAAACATTCATGCTGAAGATAAAGATGAAATCTTGTTGGACAACAAATAAATTACCCAGTCATTCCAGTTATATATATGCTTAGTTAACCTTTTCCAAACTGATGTCTTCTAGAGATTCTAGAGCAGTGGTTCTCAACCTTCCTAATGCCGCAACCCTTTAATACAGTTCCTCATGTTGTGGTGACCCCCAACCCCCCATCCAGCTGGCCAGGGAGAGGGGGCAGGAAGGCTGCTCCGCCCAGCCTGGTTGGAGAAGCACCCAGGCGGGCAGAGGGAGAGAGAGAGAGAGAGAGAGAGCCAAGAGGGCAACAGCGCCGGCAGAGCTTAGTTCAGCCTCCTCCGCGGAAAGGGCCACGAAGCAGCGCAGCCTCCCTTAGGACAGGGGTAGGCAACCCAAAACACTCAAAGAGCCACTTGGACACGTTTCCCACCGAAAACAAAACACTGGGAGCCGCAAAACCCTTTTGATATCTAAAATGAAGATAACACTGCATATATCCTTTTTTACCTTTAATGTATGTATGTATGTATGTATGTATGTATCTGTGTTTGTGTGTGTATATATAAAATAAAGGTAAAAAAGGATATATGCAGTGTTATCTTTATTTTAGATGTCAAAATGGTCTCTCTCTGTCTCTTTCTTTTCTCTCTTTCCTTTCTCTTTCCTCTCTCCCCTCCCTCTTTCCTCTTTTTCTCTCTTTCCTCTCCCTTTCTCTTTCTCTTTCCTCTTTCTCTTTCCTCTCCCACTTTCTCTCTCTCCCTCTTTCCTCTCTTTTTCTCTTTCCTCTCCCCCTCTTTCTCCTTTTCTCTCCCCTTCTTTCTCTTTTTTCTCTCTTTCTCTCTTTCCTCTCCCTCTTTCTCTCTTTCTCTCTCTCTTTCCTCTCTCTTTCTCTTTCCTCTCTCTCTCTTCTCTCTTTTCTCTCTCTCTTTCCTCCCTCTTTCTCTTTCTCTTTCCTCTCTCTTTCTCTTTCCTCTCTCTCTCTTCTCTCTCTCTTTTCTCTCTCTTTCCTCCCTCTTTCTCTTTCTCTTTCCTCTCTCTTTTCCTGTTTCTCTCTTTCCTCTCTCTCTCTTTCTCTTTCCTCTTTCTTTCCTCTCTTTTTCCTCTCGCTCTCTTCTCTTTCTCTCTTCCCCCTCTCTCTCTTCTCTCTCTCCCTCTTTCCTCTCTCTTTCCCTCTTGCCTCTCTTTTTCTCTTTCCTCTCCTCCTCTTTCTCTCTTTCCTCTCTCTTTCTCTCTTTCCTCTCCCTCTTTCTCTCTTTCTCTCTCTTTCCTCTTTCCTCTTTCTCTTTCTCTCTTTCCTCTTTCTCTTTCTCTTTCCTCTCTTCCTCTTTCTCTGTTTCCTCCCTCCCTCTTTCTCTCTCTTTCCTTTCTCTTTCTCTCTTTCCTCTCTCTTTTCCTCTGTTTCTCTCTCTTTCCTCTCTCTCTCTCTCTCTCTCTTACGGGAGCATCGTCGGGGGTCCCCGCCACCCCCGGCTCAGCCTCCGCTGCGTCCTCAGCTGAACGAGCGGGGAGGGGGAGCAGGACGGGAGGCAGCGGCTCCGGTGGCNCGGGACTCCGTGCTGCCTGGCCTCGCCCTCCGCCCATCGATGGAGCCACGGTGGGGGCTGGTGCCGCATGGCCCCTGCCAGCCCCTCCGCCAGCCCGGCTGCTCCCCCCAGGTACCCCTCTTGCCCGGGCGCTCGCCCGAGGTGCCCAGGGGGCACCAGGAGGAAGAAGGAGAGGAGGAGGGCGAGGAAACCACTGCCGCCGCTCCAGCCAGGACTCCGCGCTGCCCAGCCTCACCCTTCGCCCATCCGATGGAGCCGCAGTGGGGGCTGGTGCCGCGCGGCCCCTGCCAGCCCCTCCGCCAGCCTGGCTGCTCCCCCCCAGGCACCCCTCGTGTCCCGGCGCCCGCCCGAGCCGCCTGGGGGGCAGCAGGAGGAAGAGGGGGAGGAGGAAGAGGAGGGCAAGGAGATAGAGGAGTGGTGTCTTGGTTCCTAAGACCATCGGAAATATGTGTTTTCCGATGGTCTTAGGCGACCCCTGTGAAAGGGTCGTTCGACCCCCCCAAAGGGGTCGCGACCCACAGGTTGAGAACCGCTGTTCTAGAGGATAGCTTCCATCATCTGCAGAAATGCAGTCAAGTTAGGGAAGACCAAGTTAGCTAGTATATATGCTGGCTGCCTTTCATCTGGATGCTCACCACGGGGTACTACATCAGGGTAGGATAAAAGTTTGCAAAAACTACTGTACAGAGGTTATAATGCAAGAAAATGTGGTCTGGGCACAACTGTTTAGAAATTGCTGACTTGATAACCCAAATGAAAGGAGCAGATGTGTGGTCAATTTCCAGATATTCAAAATCAAGTTCAAGGGAAATTGGTGGTAGTGGTATGTTAGGAGTGGGCAATTTTTGTGACCTTGAGATCCTATTTTTGTGGCTCTTACAAACCCCTTCTGACCCTTACTCCTGAGATCTGGTTGTAAAATTCCATGCCATTTGGGGATGGAAAACAGGTAAAAACTGTTAAGATATACCCCAAAGTATACATATCACTATGCTAAAAGCAAAGAAAACCACCAAAATCCCTCTTGCCCAGAAGCAATCCCAATCACTTTGCAGCCCTTAGTCTGCCCCAAAGTATTAAAAGTAATTCTTGGTGCGCCCTGCAGTAAAGAATAAGTGTGAGGCTACTGGAGATTAAGGAGAACTCTCTATGTGTACATTATCCTTGGGTGGAAGGGCCACATTAGTTTTGTCTTCAAGGCCTTATCATTGTATCGATTTTGGCATCAGATTCTACAGTGCCATATGTTCAAGGGTATGTTTTAGGGCCACAGGCTGTAATTCAGTAAGGATGAAAAATGTAGCCAAGGGAAATTGTGCCTCCTTTACACTCTGATTTGTAGAAAGGAATGCAGCTGTCTCCCATGTTGATTGTCTCTCTTACCTTTCACTTCTTTCTCATCAGAAACGTAAGAATATGGGGAAGATGCGAGGCCCAAATCCTAAAATAAAACCTTTAATGCAGTCCAAGTCAGTAAGTATTTTAACAGTGCCACTTCTATGTTATACAGCTAAAATTGCCTGGTGAAAAAGTCCAAACAGAAAATGTTATTCCTAGGGTCAGCTGATATTTTTAAACTAGTAACTGAATCTTGGAAATACTGTAAAATCCAGAAACTCTGTACCCAGCACTTGGTTTTGGGGTTTTTTTTCCCAGCAGGAATGAGAGCAGAACAATGTTTCTGCAGCTGATGGATCTTCTGGCCAATCCTAGTCCCAGGGTCCTTAGGACCCAAGATGAACTTCCTTTTTACCTTTTCTCTTAAACAGAGATACAAGTCTTCTAGAAGTACAGGTAGTCCTCAACTTACAACGACATTTGAGCCCAAAATTTATGTTGTTAAGTGAGAAATTTGTTAAGTGAGTTTGCTCTATTTTACGACTTTTCTCACCACATTTGTTAAGTGAATCACTGCAGTTCTTAAATTAGTAACACAGTTGTTAAATGAATCTGGTTTCCCCATTGACTTTGCTTGTCAGAAGGTCGCAAAAGGGGATCACATGACTCCGAGACACTACAACCATCATAAATGTGAGTCAGTTGTCAAGCATCCGAATGTAAATCATGGTACCATGGGGATGCTGCAATGGTCATAAGTGTGAAAAATGGTCATAAGTCACTTTTTTCAGTGCTGTTGTAACTTTGAACGGTTACTAAATGAACTGTTGTAAGTCAAGGACTACCTGTATGCAATATTCAGATCCAAAGTGGGAACATTGCTTCAGATCTGGAGGTGTCCTTGCTGAACTGTGTTTTCTCCTGAGCTTTCAATGAAGGTGTGCAGTCCCAGGAAAATAAGTGTTTCTAAAGAAGGCAGTGATAGGCCTGTGTCTAATGGTTGTACCTATTTGCTACCTCCAGAACCAGAGAGCCAGTTTGGTCTAGTGTTTGACGCACCAGGCTAGAAAGCAGGAGACTGTGAGTTCAAGTTCCACCTTAGCCTTGAAAGCCAGCTGGGTGACTTTGGGCCAGTCACTCTCAGCCCAACCCACCTCACAGGGTTGTTGTGGGGACAATAGGAGGAGGAAGGTGTGTTGGATATGTTCACCTTGAGTTATTTGTAAAAATAAAGGGATACAAGCAAACAAATAAATATAAATAACTCAAACCCATATTTTCTTGGGATAAGGCAGCTATTAGGCAAGCCCAAGAAAAGGTGTGGCACACCAGATCCAAAGCACCTTTCCCATTTTGGATCTTATTATTACAACACTTCTAAATTTTCCCAATAGCTCTCTTACTGCCAATCAGTAATAAGGGAGGAATTGTTCTCCATTGCAGCCATAGGACAATGATATTATTTGGTAAGCATCTTGGAATGCTTGCATGCTTACTTAAATCAAATTAAGGTGGAGCTGCACATAACTGGCACAATGTACAACCGTATTTCCAAGCTCAGTTATGATTGTAAGTCAAGGACTACATGTAAGGCATTATATTTTAGAACTGGGAATATGTTTGGCTGCTTTAGATTTAATTCATTGTAGTCCTCATAAGTACCTGCCATTCGGCTGATAACATGTTTATTTTTTAATCTACTTCTCTATATCCACAGGACTCTGAGGAAGATGATGAAGATGATGATGAAGAGGAAGATGAGGAAGACAATGGTGACTCCTCTGAGGAGGGAGAAGATTCTTCAGATTCAAGTAGTGAAGAGGAGAGTGAAGATGGGGAAGAGGTAAGACTCTGCTTATCCCCAAGAGCTTTAGATAATCTGGGCTCCTCTAAAGTTGCTTGACATGGTTTCCTTCTCTCAGGATACAGCAGTTTCCTATTTCCAACAAAGCATCTCAGCACTGGAAATTTCTTTTAAGCACCTCTTAGTTACAGCTGTCTTTTCAACTGAAATATTCCAGAAAGCCACAGTTAAGGATATTTTTTTTTTTAAAAAAGGGGGGGGTGTTGAAAGACATTTTACAGATACTCCGTAACAACCTTATCTACAGACGTGAACAACCAGACCCACACATGTAGAGTTCGAACTACTACTTTATTCTCTGGCATAATACAGGAATCTCCCCAGAGTGGCAGCTTTCACCTGGGAAAGACTAGATAAGGCTCAAAGGCATTTCGGGGGGTGTCAGACCTTGCCCTCTTGTGTTTACATAGTGAGTCCAGGCTAATTCCCTGCTTGAACCCTTCTCCCAACTGGGACAGTTGCTCTCCAACATCACTCCCCACCCCACAACAGCCCCCTCCCACTGCCATGTTGTCTTCATTGTCTGAGTTCTCACGAGAGCTTGGGGGGGGGGAGCGAAGCCAGTTCAAAGGAATCCTCTGCCCCCGACTCTGAAGACTCCATTGCATCAGGTGGTGCGTTCTGCAAAATGTCTAGATTCTAGAAGGTCAGAAATGGATGGTTGGGCCTCATCAGCCACCATGTCCCCCTCCAGAGGGGCCCCTCTGCCAGGTTAACCCCTTCACGTACAGGTTCTTGGTCAGGCTCTGGTATGGGGCAGAGAGTTGGGAGTTTGGAAGGCCTTGACTTGTCTGGGAAATGCTGGGAAATGCTGCATCAAGTCAGGATTTTCCCAGGAACATTCTGACTCTGGGTAACTCCTCCAATGGATTAAGTACTGCAGGCCTATACCCCTTCTCCTAGACTCCAAAATTTCTTCAACTTCATACTCCTCACCTTACACTATCACTGATGGTGGCAGCAAGTGCTGTGAGTGTAAAGGGCTAGGAGAGGCTTCTTTTAATATTCTATGCAGTGTCTTGACCCCCCCCCCCCCACACACACATACACACACCGCTGTCTGGTTATCATGGCAGAACTGCAAAACTTCTCTTAAAGGCCCTGGCACCACTATTCTGCCTTTGTGCTGCAAAGTCCCTTCCACCAAAAATGGGGATACAGTACCTGGTGGGGTTCCCGATGCAGGTCATCTATCCAGCCCCATGAGAATGGATTGAGTGGTTGCTATGCTTTTATTATGGCAGATAAGTCCTGGGGCATGCATGCGACTTCCAACACCTCAGTAGCTGCTTGCGTGAGGACTTGTTGAAAATTAGAAGGCTGTAAAATGCTTGTAGTGACTGGGGCTTGCTGCGCTTACAAGTACTCAGGCTTATGGGATATTGCATCTGGCATCAAATTGTTCAAGCCTGGTATATAGGTAATGTAAAAGTCAAAGTGAGAGAAAAATTCACTCAATCTCACTTGTCTTGGGGAAAGTGGCTTAGTTGTCTGCAGCATTTCCAGATTCTTACGGTCAGTATGGACTTCAGTGGGGTAACATGCCCCTTCCAAGAAATGTCTCCATTGATTTTTACTGTTAACAGTTCTTTGTTTAAAATGTCATAGTTTCTTTCTGGGGAAGTCAGTGTCTGGAGTAAAAGGCACAAGGCAAAAGACAGCCTCCTCCCCTGATCTTCTGCAAAAGTACTGCGCTGATAGCTACATTTAGAGGCATCAATCTGGACAATAAATCTCTTGGAAGGTTCGGGATGTTGGCTGTTGGGCAAAGAGCTGTTTTAACTCTTTGAATGAAACCTGCTGTTTCCATCCAAGCAAATTTCACTCCCTTTTTTAACAACTGAGTTAAAGGTTTAACTTTATGTGCAAAGTTTGGAACAAACTTTCTGTAAAAGTTCACAAAGCCTAGGAAACTCTGACCATCCTTTGTGTTACAGGGGGCTTGCCATAAGAGCACTACATGGACTTTCTGGAGATACATTTGGATTCTATCTGTGGAAATGCAGTAACCCAAGAAATCTTAACTGCTTTAAGTCAAACACATACTTCTCTAATTGTAGGAGAGAGACTGGCAGAGCCAAGGGGAGGAGTTTAGAGTCTCTACACAGTCGCAAGAGAAAAAAGGCCAACCTCCCTTGAATGCGGTTGAACCTTGTATAGTTTGACCCAGATGCAAAGTTTCACAAGATTCCTGCACATAGGCTTGAGCAATATATCAGTAATTTTGAATCCTTCACTTGGGAACCTGGTTCTTTGCATCTTACGCTAATTTAACAAAGAGGTGATTTTTCTCATAACCTCTTTAAGACCTTTCGCACATGGTGGTCATGCAGATTCTCGACTTCAGTGTAGATTAGGATGTGATCCAAAGAAATCACCACAAATTTGTCAATTATTTTAGAAAACAATGATTCATAAATCTAGAAAACACAGCTCCACAATTTACTAACCCAAATGGCATCATGGTGTATTTGAATTTGTCATACCTAGTGTTGAATGCCATCAAAAATTCATGGCCCTCATTGACTCTGAAAAGGTTATATGTATTTCAATGGTCCAGTTTGGTAAATAGGCACACACACTGCAATCTATCCAATAAGTCCAATATGAGTGGTAGTGGGTAATGGTCTCTCACTGTAATGGCATGAAGGGCTTTGTAGACGTGGACAGTTCTCATTGGGACCTCAACGCTTGGGTCTTCCTTCTTAGTGTTATGGCCCCATTGGATCCCGGTTTGGAGGAGGAGTTGGAACCGGGACCATCCTATGAGGATGGCATGTCTCCCCTGGAATGTCTGGAGAGTCCAGGGGCCAAAGGACGATGCTGTCCCATGTTCCACCAGCATTGGGGGAGGTGGTCAACCAGACGGGGAGCTGCGTGCCCTCACAAACGCAGGGGAGGATCAGCTGCAGAGAGGCAGTAATGATGAGAGGCAGCAGATCCCCTCTGATGAGGAACAGCTGCCTCCCCCACTCAGTCCAAGGGCATGAAGAGTGGATGCAAGTTCAAAGGAGGTCTGTGAGGCTGCTAGCAAGGAGGCCAACCCTCTCCTCCTCACAAGGAACACCTGGCTTGAGCTGATTTAATCAGAGGCTGGGGAAGGGTATCTTCATCGGGAACAATTGTTTTGCTTCAGCACACACTTCCCCGCCCTTTGCAAACTCTGCTTTAGATCATGTTTCTGCCCTGTGGACTCTGACCTTACTTCTGGACTATGGACCTTGCATCTTGTTTATAACTGTCGAACCTTGCCTTGTAGACTTTGCACCTTGTTTTTAGACTAACGATTCCTCCTTGCCTTGTGAATCAGCTCTGATGACTATTGGCTTTAGTTTGTGGAACTGTGTTGCACTGACTGTGGGGGGCTGCCTTTGGGAAAGTTTGGGGTGGAGCTTTACCAGCTGTTGTAGGGCTACTTGTGGATAGCAGAGCAATAAAGGACTTTATTGAAGCCTGCATCTGCCTAGGGAGAGGAGGCAGAGTCAGCGCAGGGAGACCTGACTACTCGGGAGGAAGGCACAACACCCCTCCTCACAAGGATCACCTGGAGAGTACCATTTAAGGAGATGCTGTGAGGAGGGGCTTTTGTCGGGAACAAGTGCTGTATTTTGTGTGTTGTATTTCGCGGCAACACTCTCCACAGCTCCCAGAAGAACTTTGCTCCAGAATCCTTGCTGTTGTGGACTCGTGTTTCATTCTTTGCCTTGACGTCTGTGGGCTAATGGCGACGTGGCTCTCGGCTGTGCCGAAAATGCCCCGTGGCGGTTCCGGATAAGTTTGACGGTTCGTTGGCTCAGTTCCCTGCATTTTTCGGACAACGCCAGTTATATATGAGCCTCCGGCCAGAGGACTTCCCCAATGACCGGGACAAAGTGGGGTTCATGATTAGCCTCCTGGTGGGGTCAGCGGCTTGATGGGCAACTCCCCTGCTGACTCAGCCCAACGCATTGCTTGATGACTATGCCGGGTTCTGCCGCCAGCTGCGCACCATGTTTGATGACCTGGTCAAGGCCCAGACGGCAAACCAGTGCCTGAGGGAGTTGCGGCAGGGGCGGCGGCCAGTCGCGGACTATATCAGCGACTTCTGGGTGGTCAGCCAGGACCTCCAGTGGAACGAGGCCGCCTTAATGGACCAGTTCCAGGAAGGCGTCTCATCCAAGTTGCTCGATGAGTTGGCCCACACCGATTGCCCCCCCGACGTTCCAGGAATTGACGCACTTGTGTTTACGGATTGATGCGTGGCAACGGGCACGATGACGGAGGGAGGTGTTTCCGGCACCTGCCAAGAAACCATCAGCGCCGGAATCGCCAGAAGAGCCCATGCAGTTGGGGGCCGCCCGACCATGCCTTACCCAAGCCGAGAAGGATCGACAGGGCCACAAAGGCCTTTGTACTGTAGCAGACAGTGCCATATGGTGGCCAAGTGTCCTGCTAAGGTGACCAAATCGGCAGGAAACAGGGCCCAGCCTAGAGGGCTCAGTAGGCCAGGCCTCAGCCTCCACAACCAACTCCCTCAAAACACCTCATGCTTACAGTGAGTGTGTCCAAGCCTGGTCAGAGAGACGTGGAGGTTCAGGCCATGGTGGACTCTGGGGCCGCTGCCAATTTCATACACTTGGACTTTGCCGCTCAAAGTGGGCCATTCCCCAGCAGCAGGTGACACTGCCAGTCTGACACTGTGATTGGGATCGGTGGTCGCCTCGACGAGACCCCTCCGCATGCGCATCGGGTCACATGTGGAGGAGTTAGCGTTCTATGTGGCCGCGGTGCCCCACTTTCCGTTGGTGCTTGGGCTGGAGTGGTTGCAGACCCATGATCCACAGATCATCTAGTCATCAGGGGTGGTGAAGTTTACCAGCTAGAAGAGTGCCGCTCACCACCTGCATACCTGCGCAGGGGGTGTGTTGGACAGTCCGGAATTAGATTTACCTGCGAAGTGGGACTATGCCATGTTCGGGGAGAAGGAGGCGGATAGGTTT